TGTAATTCGAAATTATTAGATGTTATTTTTGTACATCAAGTGTGTTCCGAGGCAGTTTTTTAAACAAATAGTCTTCATCAAATATTAAACTCTAAGATGGCTCTAACAATATAGAGTAAATACATTGAAGGATTATGACCAGCAGCAGTTTGATAAATGTTTTGACATTAACTAATACCCGCAATTAGAGTTGCACTCTGAGAGGACAAACCGTTTTCCATATTTCTTGTAACTTTACTGTATTAAACTCGAAATAAATAAATGCGACTTACCTTTATTTCTCATTGTCCCATTTCCTTCACAAATGTTACTTGGAAAAGCAATAACCTTCGCCCATTTGTCTTGACGACATTTACTTTAGTCGTGATTTATGGTAGTTGAATTCCATTTCCGATACGATTTTTGTCTTGTTTAGCCAAGACACGTCACCATTATTGCCAGTAAGAGAGATACTTGCTATACAATGCATATTTTTAAAATGTATAGGCCACACGAATAATATATTCATGGATATATTTGACAATGTGTAGATAATGTTAAAGTAGTGCCAAATATATTGAACGGAATTTGAAAATTGAGAAATATTTTCTAAAATTTTGACAGTTGTACGTCAACCTTAAAATATGATCAATATTCTTCTTGATGTGTCTATCCGTTACGAATGTTGGCCATCATCATGGCAATCTTAATCTTATCTGCAGCAGCGCGAAAAAGCTGTACATATGTTGTATTGAACCAGATTCTAAGGTTTTCTAAGCAAGATGTTCTTCTTCTTCTTCTTCAAAGATTAGAAAAGACAAAATATAGCCTTGCCTCACTCCACGCATGATTTTCACATAATATATTGTATTACCAATACAGTACTTAAATCTTTCAGATGGACATAGGTAAAATACATTAAGGTAATAGTGGCAACTACGCTTTCTTAAGTCCACTGCTGTCGTCAAGGCCACCTGTTAAAAAATCCAACGGCGTGGTTATTTCATTATTTTTTTTAGAATTGAATTATTTTATTATAAATTAATTCTTATTAAATCATTATGTTTCTGTTAGTGCCTTTTTCGTCCTGTAAAATTCGTAATTACCAGCTCTTACCATACTATTATGGGAATATAGGTAGGTAAAATGACTCTGTTAGTGCCTTTTTCGTTCTGTGAATTTCGTAATTACCAGCTCTTACTACACTATTATGGGAATATAGGTAGGTACAGAACTTCCTATGATTAAAGCTTTTATCGAATGAATTATTTAAATCCAAACATATTATTGAAAAATGATTCATTTTATCTAAGAACTGTTATCGACAAGTAAATATCAACTGCGACGGCAAAGATAGCACTACTGTGAAATTTATACTAAGCATTGTATTATATTTTTGTTGATATATAAAAAATAAAACGGTCTGGATATTATCTTACTGGGAATTGCATAGCTGATAAATTTAAAACATGCGAAGCACCACAAAGCATTGCAATGCAACGCAAAATACCGGGACTTCAAGACATTTCACCTGAGCTTATAAAATACGGCTAAAAAAAATTACACCGGATGATACAAGGGATATTTTAGAAAGCCATAAATGGAGAACAGCTTTCAAAGGAATATACGGAGGCATATATGACATCTATATTTAAGAAAGCAGATACAAAACGATGCAAAAACTATAGAGGAGTAAGCGTAATATTATCAATAGGAAGATTATATGGAAAGATACTACGACAGAAGATAGAGCAGGCGATAAAACGCAAAATCGGGAAGAATTAGGCAGGCTTTAAGGCAAAAATATCATACATAGACCACATATACAAACTGGAACAATTGTTGAAAGAGAAAAAACATTTGGACATGAAAATGGTCATATCATAGGTCAAATCATAGGTCAAATAATAGGAGACTTCACCACAATAAAATGGCTCCTGCAGGGTTGTTCCATATCTTCAACCCTATTCAAAATTTACTTAAAGAAAGCCTTGACTCCATGGGAAAAAATGCGAAGATACGTTAAGCTTTGCAGACGATCAAGTAATGATTGTACAAGACCAATAAGACCTAAGTTACATGATAAAGAAACTACAAGAATAATATACCAAGGCTGCTTAGGTGTTAACCTCCCGAAAACAGAGTACCCATGTACAAGTGAAGAAGACAAAGAAGAACTACAGATTGACGACAACGTAACAATCAAAGAAAAGGATAGATTTAAATACTTGTGGTTTATAATCACGAAGTTTATCTAGAGATCTGTACAAGAATGCTACGTTGTTACGTTTTTTCTATTTTACTATACGGTAGTATAGAAGCGTGGACAATAAAACAGTCTGAAATCAAAAAATTTAACTCCTTTAAGATGTGTTTGTTATAGGAGAATTCACAGAATATCGTGGATTAAAAAAGGAACTAATATAGAGGTGTTACAAAGAATGAAGAAAGAATATGAAGACATAAAAACTGTTAAAATTAGAAAGATTTAATATCTGGGTATATAATAAGGAGCGAGAAGTACATATTACTTAAGGTAATTATGCAAGGAAAGATAAAAGAGAAGAGAAACCAAGGACAACGCAAAATATCCTTGCTAAGAAATTTGAGAGAGTGGTTCGGTTGCAGCTCATTAGAATTATTCAGAAATGCGGCCAATAAAATTAAAATAGCGATGATGATTTCCAACCTACCATAAGAGAAGTAACCTGAAGAAGAATAAGAGTGATTGTCGCCCACTAAAACTTCTTTAGGAAAGCTGGAGACCTTGGAGATATGGTGTTACAGCCGCATATTACGAATTTCATGGATAAATCAACAGTCATGACTGTTAAGACTCAAGACTGTATGGAAAAATTATAAAAATTAAAATTGGAAAAGAGATGACAGATGTAGAAGAACAGAATGGCTTTCTTGCGGGCAGATCCTGTACGGACAGTATATTCTCTCTAAAGCAAGTTATCGAGAAAAGTTTAGCCCACAACCTTTCAACTCATATAGTCTTTATAGATCTGACAAAGGCATACGATAGTGTACCACTTTCAATGCCTTAGAAAAACAAGGAATAAGCAAAAAATATATACAAGCAGTACAACAGCTCTACAAAGATATGACGGCAAACATTAAAACTGGAAATAGATTAACTAGAGAAATTTCTATTAGTAAGGGCCTAAAGCAAGGCTGCTGCACAGCATCTACACTCTTCAAAATATATCTAAATGAGGCACTCTCACTGTGGAGAAGAAAGTGCTGTAATAAGGGCATCCCAATCAAAGGTAATATATTGTACACGATACATTTCGCTGACGACCAAGCCATTCTAGCTGAAGACGAGAGTGATGTAGGATACATGCTTAGAAAACTGGAAAATGATTTCACCAAATAGGGCCTCACAATTAATATCAAAAAACGGAGTACTTAGTTGTAGGAGAGAAATCAGAAAGCCTACAAATCTAAATGGGAACTATAAAGCCAACAGACAATTTTAAATACTTGGGAGTCCAAATAACATTAAAAGCAGGAAGCAGCGAAGAAATACATTCCAGGATTGGCCAAGCAAGATCAGCCACTAGACAGCTACACGGACTATTATGGAACAAAAAAATAATAAAAAAATAAAAGAAGAACTTATACCACAATAATAGAAATTATTGGACTGTACGGTGCCGATCTCTGGGAAATAAACCAAAGAAACAAATCAAAAATTAAGGCCATGGAAATGAACTACTGGAGACGATATTGCCAGCTCACTAGACTTGATAGGGTGAAAAACGAAGATCTTCGGAGAGAAATGGAAATCGATCTACATATAATAGACACAATCGGAGCCAAAAGACTTAACTGGAATGGATACATTCAGAGAATACCGGAAAATACATGGCCAAAAAAAGTAGAAAAGTGGACTCCGCCAACTAGAAGAAAACGATGTAGACCAAGACGATCCTGGAGAGACGATGTCGACGATGTCGACGATGCAATGACCTCCAGATATCTAACAACTGAAGATTGCTTCGACAGAAAACGCTGGAAATTAGGATGCGAGAAGCGGAGCCAGCTGTAGAAGACTCGCTTGGTATATATATATATATATATAATATATATATATATATATAATATATATATATATATATATGTATATATATATATATATATATGTATATATAATATATATATATATATATATATATATATTATTTTCATTTATCGAACGTTCCTGGAGCAATCTTACTAATTCTGAATGATTAACACAATCGGATGCTTTCTGGTAATCTGTAAAGCATAGGAAGACACCTTTTTGCTGATCTCTGCATTTCTGTTAAGCTATAAAGTGCTTCTCTTGTGCCAAATCCTTGTCTAAAACCGAACTGTGTGGGGCTAATGTCTCTTTCACATCTGTTGTATATTCGTGTGTGAATTATCTCTAAGAAGAGTTTTAGAACCTGGCTCAAAATGCTGATCATTCGGAATTGGTCGCAACTATTAGCGTTTGGCTTGTTTGGGATTGGTATAAAGGTTGATTGAAGCCATTCATGTGGTATTTGACGGGAACCATAAATGTCATTAAAAAGATCTACCAAGGTGTCTAAATTGTCTTCACTCAACATTGTTGAACCTTTATGTATATGTCGTCTGGGCCTGGTGCTTTTCCCCATTTGCTCTGTTTGATTGCCCTTACAACTTCTGACTTTAATATTTTGGGGGAGGGTTCATTTTTATATTCACTTTCAGAGTGTGTGTAGTTTCTCCAATGTTAAAGTAGATTTTTGGGATCAGTAATTAATTTATTGTCCTTCACAATACAGTTAAAATTGCAAGGTTTTTTATGACCTGTCACTTATTTAATAAGTTTATGTATGTTAAAGTGGTCATGTTTTTCTTCCAATGTTCACTGTTCTTTAGATTTGCGACACTCTTTTTGTATTTAACGGTTGATCTGCTGATGTTTGGTTCAGCTCTTTTATAAATATAAACATATCAGCTTTTATTGCAGGACTAGAGAAATAAAAACTCAAAACACTGTTAAAATGAAAACATTTATTTCAGAAAATACATTTTACATATGACAAACCTACGCATATTTTTGAGTGAGTATTACAAGTGCTAAGACATTAAAAATTACTCTTATAGTGTAGATACTTAGTAAGTACATTTAAATATTTAAACTTCAATCTTTGTGTGCCTTAGAAACCTTAAAAGGTACAATACATATTTCTTAATTATACATGTGGTTGTTTTGAAAGTATTTTAAGGTGGAGGAGTGATAACAGCTTACTAATTGCGAGAGACATAAATAGTGGTAACACTTTTCCAGTGAGACAAAATTCGTATAAACTTTCTACATATACTCTCCACCTTACTTTACTTAAGTAAATTATTAAGGTAATGATATATAACGATTTTTGCGCATCTTATATTAAGTTGTGTCCAGCAGCTTCCTTGGCTTTAACAAAATATGTTAACATATCAATCGGCAGAGGAAAAACTATAGTTGAATTCTTCTCCGCTGATATAGTGTTCAGCGTCTACATAATCAATCAAAATAAAATTATTATTTTTAAAATTAAATTTAATAAAGTTAACGTAAAGCCATAAAGTTGTGAAGTTTTGAGAAGGTTTTAAAAACAAGCTATGTGTGCTTTTCGTAAGCCCCAGCTTTAAGCCTTAAAGCGATATTCTATGGCCATTGTAAATATTATATTTATGCTAAAAGTTTTCTGTTTCTGTAAAATGCAGTAATAAGCAAATTTTAAACAAATATTTTATACAGCGTTTTAACAAAAACAAATAAAATATTTATAATACATTTACAATGAATAAATGTTTTTGATTAAATTATTAATTAAGGCCAATGAAAATGGCCTAGCAATTTTTAGTTCGCGGATAAGCCAGATTAAAATAACAGGATCACAGCGACAATGCGCTGTCCTGAGTTTGATTTCGGTAAGAAATCTATTTGGATAAAATATTGGGTGAAATTCATTGGACCATACATATATACAATAGCACTAAAGGCCTTAGAGGCCCATGGCTTAAAAATTTTGTTCTTTCTTCATTTTCGCTTTCCTTTATGTACTGAGATTTTCTCTGGCTCTATATGTGACATTTCTCCATTCCTTCCTGTTATTCATTATTCTTTTCTGGCCGTCTAGTCCAATTTCTTCCATATCTCTTTCTACCTTCTGATTCTCCATCTATTTTTTGGCCTTCCTTTTCACTTTTTTAAAGTTATAGTGTAGTTTAGTACCATTTTTGGAGTCCTCGTGTTCGGCATTCATTCTAGGTGACCTCGCCATCTTAGTATCTGTGCCTTTATGACTCCTATTATGTTATGTTGATTATATAATTTCATTAACTCATCATTTGATCTTCTTATCCATAAACCGCCTAATGTTAGGTTTACGTGATATTATTGAACCTAGGTATGTAAATCTTTCTACCATTTCGAATTCGTATGATAATCTTTCTTCTACTTCTACTTTTAACTTTTGTCCATCCCTAAACTGATGTAAAGTTCTTTTATCCATATCTCTTTTATGATCTTGTATATCCAATTATTTAGCAGTTTTCCACCATATTTCATCATCTCTGCTATTATGTTATCGCGCTTCCAGGGGATTTGTGGTTTTTCGGATTTTTTATGATTTCCTCAATTTGTTTTTTGCTGGGTGAATTATCTTCTATGTCTTCTAAGTGTTCGATTCTTGCTTCTGCTTCCATACATTCTCTTTGGTTTGACTTATTATTGCCATTTAGTAATTCATCAAAATACTCTTTCCATCTTTCGACTATTTCTGCTTCCCCGTATATATTATTTCCTGCTTTGTTTTTAACGAATATGGGATTTTGTTGGAAACCTTTTTTTTCATTTCTAGCACCTCGACATAGGTTTTGTATTTTTTTATTTCTGTAATTCTCTTCTATTTCTTTTAGCTTATTATCTATGCGTTTTCTCTTCTTTTCTCTCAGCACCCTCTTTACTTTTTGCCTTTGCTCCCTATATCTATTCTTTGTCTCTGTTGTTTCTTTCGTGATTATTTCCATCCTTAATGATTTTCTTAGTTCTATTTCTTTTTGGCACTCTATGTCGAACCAGTCTTTCATATTTTTATTCTCTTATTTATTACATTCTTTTGCTGCTTTGTTCATTATTTGCTTTATGTTTTCCCATTTGTTCTCAGTTTTCTCTTCTATTTGTATCTTTTTTAGTTCTCTTTCCATTGTTTCCTCCTATATTTCTTGCTCTTACCTGGTTGCTAATCGCTAATTGCTAATGTATACATTTCTTTTTTTTTATTATTTTGTTTTTATTTTCTGGTATCAGTTGCTTAATTTTGATGCCCACCATGTAATGATCTAAATCAGCGTCTGGTTCTCTGTATGTTCTTATCTTCTTTATACATTGCTGTTCTTCTTTCTCGATGAGCACGTGGTCTATTTGGTTTTTAGTCTTTCTATCTGGCGATATCCATGTTTCCTTGTGTATTTCTTTTCTTTTGAAATATGTGCTCATTATGATCTTCATTCACTAGTTTACTAGTTTACACTTTACTTTCTAAAAAGAAATACCCACAGATGCGTTTGTCCTACAATAGAAGTTTGAAAATTTATAGAAAATGTCATTTTTAACGTTCACAAAATAAAAGTATTCTGATAGAAAGCTTTTATAATTTTATCAAAATTATTTATTGATGCCTTTTATAGCTCATTATAAAACTTTATTTGCTTTTATACCACCCTTTTATTATCCATGTAAAGAGTATATTTATTACTGACATTACAGAAAAAAAAAACAAAGGAAAATAATGGCCTCAGCAAACTTAAGCAAAAATCCAAGCAGAAAATTCATTAGTTGAATTTCAAGGTTATTTTTTTAATATCCTTAAAATATTTACTAACATAAATAAGTAAACTATGAAAATGTCCACTAATGGAATTTTTAACAATATAAAAACTATTATGCCAATAAGCACCAAAATATCACACATTTTTAAAACAAACTGATAAGCCAGAGGTTGATACGAAGGAGACAATTCAGTGTGTCCAGTACTGAAAATTCTCCATTGCACCAAAAGTGTCTAAATGACGAGAGACTAACACAGTGTGTCCTTTACTAAGTTAGTCTCTGTTAATTCATTATATTTAATTAATTGTTTTCCAGTTTGTTTCGATAAAAATAGTGTTAATTAAAAAAAATTGCAAGTAAACTATTAAATGTTTTTAGGCTTGCAGTGACAGAATAGTCAATGTGAATACGTAGATAAAGCAATTTACTATAATGTATAGAAAGTATAATATTTATTCATTTCAAATACTTGATATGATCGTATAATATTTTTTACATTTTTTTTGAGAGTAAGCAAAAGTTGTATGCTTTATTATAAAAAAATGTACAACTGATCACTTTCAGTAGAGACAACAGATTTATATTACCACCTATCCCAATGTTTGCATATTCTAATCTTTCGTTTCAATCATACAATTAGAAGTAATGTTTAATCAAAGCCTCGCTTAAGCATCATTGATATTTTATTTCTCGCTATAATAATTAAAGTAATACATGAATTATAATATTGTGCCATAATTAATGTTTCTATTACTAGCTTGTACTTATTTTCAATACTATTTAGAATGTTAACAAGATCCTTGTTCTTAAAAGATGTTTTTTTATATTAAATTATGTGTGGGATTGAAATATACGTTTTCTTTTAAACTACTCCATTTAAATCATGAATGTGTTGCCTGTGTAAGTCCATTTCCAATAGGTAAAAGGAAATAAAATAAGATTTGCTCACAGTCAGTATAGGTTTACTACCAAGACGACCAGTTTTGCTTTCTACAATATGCAAAGCATCTTCAGTCGATACAAAGTTAAATAAATGCTGAAATAATAATAAACCCATATTAGGGTGTTGTCTAATAAGGATAAAGAATCCTGAAGAGGCAAAAGCCTAAAACAGGATGACAAAACCCCAAAACAAAAGAAGCAACCAACCAAAGACAGAGAAAACCAACGCAACAATGAAGTGTATAAGGATAAAGAAAGTAGATGTTATAAATTACAGTAATTATGCCAATATTACATGTCTGTGTTTTATTAAGAATAAATTGTTTAAGCAAACAAAGTAAAACCCACAAATTGGTATAAAATAACTTACTAAATTGTAATAAATTAGTAAATAAACAAAACATTACTCACAGACCGGTACAATAATTAATAATTAATAATTCGGAGAACATAGTTCAAACTAAACTATTCTGTAATTGCTGATAATGGGGGATCTTCGGTGTTACTATTGTAACTGTTTGATAATTAGCGTAGAAGTTTCTTGAGGAGATAGATTTTAACAAATGAAGTAGGAATAAGGTATAGTGTGATTGTTTGTTAAACAAAAGTGATTTTCTCTATTATTTAATTTATTAAAAGTTATTTATATTTATTCAAGAGATATATTTTTGAAATGTGTGTTAATTTATTGAAATTTTTTTATTAAAGGGATAGTTGTATGACAATGAATGAAATTAGATACACAATTATGTAGGTGTGCAATTCCTTTAGATTGTAATTATCAAATTTCTTTGATAAAGTTGAGTTTGATTACTGTTTTTGGCGGATAATTAGAATGACAGATGTGTTAAAATCACTAAAACTACAACAATTAAGGACACTTAGGGACAAACTGAACACAATTAAAAGGACAAAATAGACATTAAATTTAAAATGAGGTAACTTATTGGCACTACATCACTTCGTAAGAGGAGAACTGGAAAAACTAAGTTTTTTTTTGTCTACTAGACTTTTAGAAGTAAATTTGACAAGCTAATGTAAGTTAAAGTGTGACAGTTCTTCTTATATTTCAATTTGGTTAACTTAAGTTACATTACTAAAAAATAGAAGAAGAACTGTCATAATTTAACCTACAATAGCTTGTCAAATTTACCTCTAAAACTCTATTAGTGTTTGGGAAAGTATGTACGAATTCTTTTCATATTTTTACATTTAATATTTTTCTGTCACGGTACTGTAATGTGATCTCATTCAATGCTGTATTCTAAAGACCTTTTCAAAATATATTATTTCCTGTTATTTTGTAAAATTGTTACTGGCTATCTCATTTATTATGTTTAGGTACGAAGAATTTGGCTTTTTTCTTTGTATTCTGTGTGACAAAGATTAAAACAAGTGTAAGGTTTCGTATTACTGTAGCAATTAACTTTGATTTGTAGCTTAGACTTAGAACTTAGAAATTGTAACTTTCGACATTTAAAGGTGGTCAGTGCCCTTAGGTTTTTATTCACTCTTCTGAGGACGAGTCGAAGTACGTTATGGAAACTTTTAAAAGAAATAGGCTTCCGCTGAAAAAGAATCCCAGAAAGTCTATTTTATTAGAAAGAAGCGATATTGTCATATGGAGAAGACATTTTCTAAGAACCATAAAGGAAATGAGAAACCAAAAAAGAAAAATATTTTATCTTGATGAAACATGGATCAATGAGGGTCATACACCTATAAGAAGATAGATCTTCTTCCTAAGAACTGTGTAATAGTAATGGATAATGCAAGTTATCACTCCAGACTTATAGAAGGACTGACACAACCAAGTGGTTAAAAAAAGACTTGCAGAATTGGCTGAGTTCAAAAAATATTACGTACCATCCCGGATCTATAAGAAAGGAACTTTATTCGTTGTATGCCCTTCATAAAGAAACATTTAAAAAATACGAAATTGATTAAATTGACAAAAATCGTGGAATGACAGTACTTAGATCCCCACCATATCATTGTGAATTAAACCCGATTGAACTGGTATGGGCACAGATAAAGAGTGAAGTTTCAAGAAAAAATACCACTTTTAAAATTCATGATGTTAAACAGTTGTTTTTGGAGGCCGTAAATAATGTAAAACCTGAAAACTGGAAAAGGCAGTAAATCACATTATTAAAGAAGAGGAAAAAATGTGGAAGCTGACAGTATTACTGATAAAATGATCGAGCCAGTTATTATAAATCTTGGTTCTGAAAGTTCATCTTCTGAATCTGATTTGGATTTGTAACAAGTAGCTGTAAGTTTTTATATTAATATTTTTATTCATCTATTTAACATACCTTAGACGGTTTTAAAAACTCTTTTTCTCTTTTGTAATTTTTAAAAATTAAAAAAAAAATGTGAATTTTTTAAAACCCTTTTTAATGTAGGCCAGTCAGTTCTAATATAGTGTGTGATAAAAGAGGTCACTTTTGATTACATACACATAACACTTTATAACACTGAAATAATTCATTTATTTTTTACAATTATTCAAAGTAATTTTTCAATTAATCTTGAGCACGCCCATGGAGTGGTCGGAGGTACCAGTTAAAATTATGCTAATTACTCTCTCGTTCATAAAAATAAACTATAAGCTAATAAAATCCAAAATAACAAGTTGCAATTTGATTCATTATTTGATAGATTAATTAAGAAATCAGTTTTCTTCATTTTATGAAAATTGCACTTTTTGCAAATGGCCGGTTTTTAAATTAGACGACTCATTTTATATTGTTATTTTTCTTTATCTTCATCTTTATTATATGAAATATCATATCAATATTTTTCGAATGTAATTAAGAAAACCTCTAAAGCTAATCATCAAATAATAACTGGCTAAATTCTAGCTATTAACATTGCAGCAGAACCAATTTCAGTTACCATCAGTAATCTGAGTTAACTCATCTCTATCATAGAAACTCGTAGAATTCTGAAACACTTTAGTGGCTTAATCGAAGCCCCAACGTCCGGAACCTTTATCCGACCCTCTTCAATGAACTTCTTATAGCTCCCGAAACACGAAATTACTAGTTAGCAACGTCTTTGTCTGCATTATATCCTCAATTGTGTACAAGTCTCACACAGTAAACGAAACAGTATACTTGTGGTCATGGGGTAGTTACTGAAAGAGCTTTTGTGGTTATTTATTTGCTAAGGGAAAGGAAGGTTATATACGTACATCAAATATAAATGAATTGTGAGTTATTTATAGTGGAAATTGTATTATCAATAAGATCGGATGTTACAAATTTGACATTCATGATATGAGTAGTCCCCTTGCAAACCACGCTATGATAAAAATATATATTTTTCGTTTAATGACGCCGATGTGTAGACATTATTAAAATAAACGTGTCATAATTATATACTCTATCAAAACTGGTTATATTCTGAATAAGACGAGGAAAAAACATACTTATAAACGGGTAATGTATAAATAACCTGCGACATGTTGATGACACTGTGATACTGGCAGATAATGCTGAAGCCCTGCAACGCTTAATGGACCGAGTAACAACAGCCTGTAGAGAATTTGGAATGAAATTAAATACAAAGAAGACAAAAACGATGGTCAAGAGCAAGCACCAAAACAGAAGGGTGAAGGTCAATGTCGACGAAACAGATCTGGAAAGAGTAACAAGAACAACTTACCTTGGAAGTTATCTTGATGAAACTTGGGACCACTCACTAGAGATTAGAATAAGCCTGCAAAAGGCACGTACAATGTTTTACAAAATGCAAAAGAATGGTAGGAAAAACTAGAGACAGCAAAAATAAAGACAAACCTTTTAGAACATTACAGAAGCAAAAGGAATTGATCCTTCCAAGAAAAAGGTTCTAGAAACCTTTTGCGACTCCACATTTTGTGACAATCGTTATATATGTATATGCGTATATACCTACAATAAAAAAGAGGTTTCCTATTTTAGATCTTAAAGTTGTCCCCACCCGCTCTGGGAGGTCTAGTTTGGTGTCATTCGATAGATGTTTGAAAAATATTCTATTGTTCCGATTCTTTTGGCACAAATAATGGTATCTCCTTTAATAGCTAAAATCAAATAATAATGCTACTTTATGTTGATGAATTGGTCAATATTTCTGACTTTAAAGTTGAACTTGGTGAAAATTTAAGTTAAAATCAGTTAATTGTTAACGTTGGCAAAACCAAAATTCTTTCATTTGCTCAAAGCGGTCCACTCGAAAATAGAGAACCAAAATGCTTCTTGAGCAACACAACTTTTCAATTTGTTAGTTCAAATCCTTGTTTGAAACCATTGGTAATTATTTTTTACGTACATATGAATTACCTTGTCATTTGAATAGTGAGATTTATTTACATTTTTTATACCATGATTTTATTGATTTATTGGAAGAATTGTCATCAAACTTAATGCGACATATGTGGTTTATGCAAGATGTTACACCACCACATTATAGAGAGAGAGAGAGGAGTGAGAATATACTTAAATACAACTTTCCTGAACGTTGAATTGTTTGTGGTAGTCATATTCCTTGGTCATGTGGTGAGATATTATTCTTCTTCTTAGAGTGCCGTCTCCCTATGGAGGTTGGCAATCATAATGGCTATTTTTATTTTAGAACTTGCTGCTCTAAACAAATCAATCGATCTGCATTGGTACCAAGAGATATTATTACAAGTATTTAATTCAACAAAAATCCCAAAAGAGTACTTATTAATCGACTTATAATACTTATAAAAAATACTGCAGCAGTTTCTTTAGAACTAATGATGCTATTTGATATGAGACGATCTTTTATGGAATGTATTGACAAATGAATTAAAGAAAATGACGAGAACCAACTTTGACAAAAAGTTAACTATCCTGCTCATAAATTTATCTTATTTAATATTTCGTTAACTATTAACTTGATTAAAGACAGTTTATACCAAAATTCAGAAGTATTGATGCCTTTGTCTAATTTTCTTTCGTTGCCTGGAGTAATTGCGTTTAATCAGAATTATGTAGTTGATTTGTAAAATACGATTATTTCGAAAACTGTTAAGTTTTAAAGTTAT